ATATTCTGCTTGAAACTGGCGTGAAGTTTCGGAGCGATTATCCGGCATTCCGGACTTCAGTGGGTCTGCTTAGGCTCTGTCATTTTCCCTTTCTTTTCTCTTTTTGGAAACTCCAGATGGCCCACAGGTGACCAGGAGCTAGCCTTTCAGCACCATAGCGCTATCTACTCCACAAATGGATGAAACATTAATGGCTGCAAATGTTTGCTTATTAAGGAGTCACTTTTTGCTTGTATGCACCATTAATTATGAATGCCTGACAAGGATGTAGTGGAACAGCACCAAGGAATTAATAACAGCATTAATTTTTAGGACTCTATAGTTTCATTCATCTTCACGGAACATAGGGAAAAGTATTTCAGGGAACAGGACCAAGAATATCCAAATAAAACTGTAAATTCCACTTAATATGTTTCAATTTACTTTGTTGAGTTGTAGATAATCACATTCTCTTGAAACCTAGCAAGTTGTAAATTCAGTCATGTTTTCCATCTAGGAGATTGTTCTTTAGTACTCATCACAAATGTATTAGGCATGCTATTTTTTTTTTTTTTTAGAAAAAATTGTATATATCAAACTGCCACTGATGTTGAATCTACACAACAAGAAATTGTTAACTATTATTATTAATTTTTTTTGGCGGAACTGGGGGTTGAACTCAGGCCCTTGCACTTGCCAGGGAAGTGCTTATTCTACTGAGTCATCTCCCCGGCCCCTATTATTGTTAATGTGAAGTTAAATGAGAAAGTGGGTCATCACAGGTTAAGAGCTAAGACTTACATATCCACTGTGTAACCTTGGAGCAGCTGCAGGTTTTTGCTTGTGCTCTTAAGAATGGATAAGAACTCCTGATATAAGCATGGTTCGTCTTGGAGTAGGAGCTGGATCCTGCAAATAAAATGTAAAAATATACACCAAAAGTTTGAAATCAAAGCTCAATAACGGAATGAGAAAATCCAGTCAGTTAATGGCATAATGATCATTTTAGTGACTATAGAAAAAGTTCAGTCGTATATTGCAGTGGCAATCAGAAACACTGAAACCCACAGAGGGCTTAGAGGCAGATTTATTTTACGTTGACAAGCACTGATTGGGATCGTTCCTAGACTATCAGACCCGGATCTCTGGAGGTCTAAGGCTTATATTAGATAACCAAGCAGGCAGCACAGAGACAGAAGGGCTTGTCAATTGGGGATTGGTTTATACCGTATGCCTCCTAGCGATCAGCTATGTATCACAGTGACCAGCCGTTTCTAAGAGACAGGAACAATCACATCTGGAACAAGAGCTATTATTTGGGCACCTAACAAACTGAAGTCTACTGGCTGCAGGGAAGGAGGCATTTTCTGCTACAACCTGATTGTATTTCCTGAAGTTTTAAGACAAATGTCAATTATGGTAAATGCGTCGTATAGAAAAATCTATCAATAGAGCTTGATGTCTAAAGAAGTTACTGTAACAAGACAGTGTTATAAGGCAAGCTATTGCTGTACATCAGTACAGTATTGCTTTCATCTTACTATGAAACAGAGGAAAGATATATTTACATATAGATGTATGAAGCATCCACTGTGCGCCAGTCTTTAAAGTATTTCATGTTACTTAATTTAGTCTTACTTTGCTACACTTACCAAGTGATGTTCAAAGTGGCAACTTTCACACATAGTATCGTATCTTACATTTCAGAACATATATTTCAGTGGTGCGGTGAACATATAACACAATCTTATATAATTTGGAGAGAGTTCATATTTCTCATCTCATAAATAAGTACTAGTGAAACAGAACTACATATACAGGTGGTGACAAGAACTTGAAAAAAATGCAGCATTAAACACCAATTTTTTTTTTTAATTTTAAAAACTTATTTATTTATTTATTTATTTGGTGCAAGATCTCACTATGCAGCTCAGACTCATAGTGATCCTCCTGTCTCAGCCTCCCCAGTGCTGGGATTACAGATGTGTGCCACCATGCCCAGTTTCAATAGCTGGCATGTGTGCCTGGGGTTCCGGAGCTGGCACAGCATGTGGTACCAGAAACTGAACCTGGGTCCTTGCGCTTGCCAGGCAGACGCTTAGACTGCTGAGCTACCTCCCCAGCCTTAAACACCAAATTCTTGACCAAGTGTCAGTGATAAAATTTAAACAAGTCCATGTGTGCTGAGTCAGAAGAAAGCTATTTCTCCAACTCTTGCTTAGAAATAGCCATAATTTTCCAAACTACCTACAGTTTCATATGGACATTCCACACTGGGTTCCTAAGGTCGTCAGTCCTTTGGAAGTCTAGTCCTGGGCTTGATTGATAGTTTTACATTTTCCACCATTCAGAAATGAATGGCTGGATATAAATGAGAAAGCGGGAATGTTTAAATCTATGAATGGCTAGAACCAGTTTTACTGAAGGAACCTACATGTCATTGGCATGGGAGGCTTTGTGCATAACTCCTTATTCATGGTTTGGCTCTAACGTATTTATTCATCTCAGATTACCTAATATTACCCACTGCACATCAAGACTAATAAAGTTGCACAAGCACAGTAATGGTGAGGAAAAACTTTCAATTTCATTTCAATTTGGATAATATTTTTTTCTTATAAAATGGGAAACAAAAATGGAACCCTATGAAATGGGAGCCTGGAGCTGGACAGATAGCTCAGCAGACTAAAACACCTGCTTAGGCAGAGCGCAGGGACCAAGTTCAATTCCTGGCCTGCCTTGCTGGCCCCACCCCCGGTGCGAGCTGAGAAGGTGATTGAGACTGGGCGTGGTGGAGCATACCTATAATTCCAGTACTCAGGAGGCTGAAAACAGGAGGATCACATCGGAGTCCAATCTGTGTAGTGAGACCCTGTAGACTCTGTTCTAAAATGTATTTAAAAAAAAAAAAAAGGAAAGGGAAAAGAAATGGGAGCCTAACAATCTCAAAGTGTTCCATCTAGGAATACAAATGGAGTATTTATCAAATGAGTTCTTCTCTTGTGTATTTTCCCATAATTCCCAATGAATTCCCAGGGTAACCTGCTTCACCTGTCCTACCCTTACTGACCTGAATCAATTCACTCAATCCCAGCACTGTTCAACTGAGGTGGAATTTATAAAATAAAACATCATTGAAATTTGAAGTCTGCCTTTCCTGACATGTTAACTGTTAATGATTAACTGGAATGTTCCCCAAATTGATAAGTTTGCATAAGCATGAGTCCCTCTTTTTTTCTTGATCTCCTCTCTGTATTTCCTTACTTTAATCCTTGCCTGAGTTGTCATCAAAGAACATAAACTTTGAAAGGGGTCTTCATGTTGTATTTTTGAAAGAGGTTCATGTTTAATTCTAGAAAGCATGAGTGTTGTGATACTGGTCCTGTTACTCTCTTCTTGTGTGAAATAATGCACTTTTAAGGTCTGTCTGTTTTTCCCACTTCCTTGGGTTTCTTTCTCCTGTGTGTATGTTAGCCTGGGAGAGAAGAGAGTTCTTTCTTTACAAAGCTACAATTCTATACCAACAGTGCTGGCAGATGATGGTCATCCCCTCTACTGGAGAAACCCAGGCCATCTTCCTCTGAGTGAAGCTTGCTGTCCTTATCTCTAGTTCAACCCACTCCTTTCCTAACTGACATGTGTCAAACTTTTAGAGGAGCCCTTTTACCTGTGACATCCCCTGGGATTTTGAGAAGTCACACTGGCTGTGCTTTTACAATGATTGCATGGTAACGCTCCTCATTGTAAACACATGTCTGTTTTAGTTCTTTGTTGTGTGAAAAAATATTGTCTTGTGAAAAAAAATTCACACTATTCTTCTGGCATGCTTTTATTCTCCCCAAAATGCTGGTCTACTAGCTAAGTGATTAATGACAATATAAGATTTCATCTCAAGTAGTACTGCTTCTAATGTCTAAATAGAAACCCTAAAACTTAACTGTATACGAACTCCCACATCTTATAAATAAAATTCCAACTTGAGTCTTGAGGGTTTCCAAAGGTTCGCTGGTGTTGGAAAAAGCTGATGTACCTGAATAAAGCATTGTGATTAGTGGCAGAGTGACACATTAAAAGATTTGATTATGATGATCACAAATAGTTGTTTTTTTTTTTTTTCATTTCTCCCAGTTTACTGGATTCAGATCTGATGTTCCAGTGATGTCAGTCTCAGAAATATAGCTCAATGCAATGATGAGCCTTACTGTAAAGCACTGAGTGTT